CCTCTCTCCCTCTCCCTCTCCCTCTCCCTCTCCCTCTCCCTCTCCCTCTCCCTCTCTCTCTCCCTCTCCCTCTCCCTCTCCCTCTCCCTCTCCCTCTCCCTCTCTGTCCTTCATTTGTCTGCAGGACTTCACCAGTGAGAAGTCGACTATGAAACCAGCCAAGGTCAGGAGCCTCAATGATAACTTTGACTTCTGACTTCCTTCCTCCCCAGCCCACGTTGGATCCCTTCGGATCCAGCATCACGATCGGCATGTCCGACTACCCTTACCACACGACGACATACGAGGTACCAGCGCTCACCTCCATCCGCCATCCCCTCCTGCTCCTCCTCGTCCTCCTCCATGCTCACAATCCTTCCATGCCTGCCTATCCACTCCTCCTTTCCTCCAACCTGCTCCCCCTCTCCCAGTTCCACTGTCCCGTCTTTCCCTTCCCCTAACATTCACATCCCCCGCAGGACACGCTCGGCCGGTCCGCTACCATGGAGTACGACCGAACTCTAGTGTGACAGCTTAACCGTCCTTTTCTCGAAGGATTCATGTAAATGTACTTCTTAATGAATGCTCAGCACAAGGCCAGCTCAGCTTAGCTCCCTCCCAGCTCCTTTCACGAGGATCCTACGATAGTCTTGGCGAGGGAGGAAGGAGACTCGAAGTCAGAGGTCAAGTAGGTCTGCCTGTCCGCGTCGTAGAAGTTTCCGGTGAAGGGGCCGACCTCACTGCCGGGCGTCTTGTCCGGGCAAACGTAACGGTAGAGGGTCTTGTTGGCAGCCTTGACCTCCTTGTTCCACCCGCACTCAGCGCAGGCAGACATGGCGGAGTAGCAGAGGTTGTTGAAGTTCCTGCACGTCATGGTGGCCTGATAAGAGCTGACCACCGCGCGGCTGCGGCTGTTCTCGGCGCTCGTCATCAGTTCCTTGGCGAAGGTGGCGACCTTGTTCGCCTGGTCAACCACCTTCTCGTGCTCCTGCTGCCTCGCCTTGTACTCAGCCTCCAACTCGCTGGAGCTTCTGTTCAAAGTCCTCAGACTGTCGTACTTGGCCTCGGCGAGCTTGAACGCCACAGAGCTCTTGAGCACGGCCGAGTCTGCCTTGTTTGCCTTCATTCTGGCCGAAAGAGCCTTCTTGGCGGCCTGCATGCTGTCGACCATGTCCTTGTCGGCCTCCCAGATCGCGCTGTCCCTAGCTTTCATGAGGTCCCTCACTCTCTTGCACTCTGCCTTGTCACACTCGGGCATCACGTAGCATGAGATGGCCCTCTTGGTGAACTGATCCTGCCTGAAGTCGGAGAAGGGGGAGGAGAGCTCCTTGTACAAGGAGCTGATCCAGAAGTCGATGATCTTGGACGCCTCCTCCTCGTTCTCCGGCTGGCCGCCTCCCTTGGTCTTGGGAGTCAGCCTGAAGTAGAGCTTGATATCCTCGGCCGTGCATGCAACCCTGGAGTCGCTGATGCACTTGAACTCTCCCTGCACAAAAATCTTCTCCAGGGACTTGACGACGGAGTCTTGAAACTTGGCGATCTCAGCATCACTCACGACACCATCCTTGTTCTCATCCATAACCTGCGAACCGATGAGCCTGCTCGCTTGCTTCTCTCCTTCCTCCTCCTCCTCCTCCGTCCCTAAACATGTGCTATACTTGTCGCCAACTCTTGTTTCTAACAAAGAGCGCTAAGATTTTGTGAAAGATATCTCAACTTTTCTTTTGTTGAAAGAGAAGCAACGAATGTTTTCCAACGAGTGGTTGTAACCTTACAACACTTTCTTCTACCGCTTCTTCTAGTCACGCTATTGCTCCAAACACGGAAAGACATAATTCTACATCCTTCTCTCTCAACACATAGATCAAAAAGACAGATGCACACGCTTCACCCGAGGACGATCAATCGTGTTCATACCAGACAGCTACTTTACCCGAACACAGGAAAGATTGAGTAGTTTGCTCCCCAGTGGAACAGGGAGCAAACTGAATTCTCCTTGACTCATTGGTGTCGATACTTGTTTGAGGAGAATTAAGCATTCCTAAGCCGCAAATCGCCCTCCTCGTCTGTGATCCCTTGACCGCCTTTGTTGGTTTGCTGCATTTCTCCTTCTCTCTAAGATCACTATCATCAAATCAACTCCGAATCATCTTCTCATTATCATGACATCTCTTCTTCTCACGCATGTTTTCATCATGGCCTGTTCGTCATTTTCTTCTCACCTGCCATGGCGTAAGCCCGACTTCAAGTGCCACCCAGACCATTGGCAGCTCCTCTGAACCCACCCCACCCCATTGGGTAAAATCCATGACCCCTACCCCATCCACGTTTCCTTTGCAATCATTCCCACCGTCCTGAAACATGGACCCACCCTTTTCACCCAAAAAGTACCCATTAAATCCATCAAATCCGATCCAATCTGAATACCCACCCCCCAGTTCCATACCTTCCAGGACCCCATAACCCCTCATTGACAAGAAACGGTACATCTTTCAAACCCTGGGTCCTAGCGGTGTAGGACTTCCTACGCCCACGTCTTAGGAATGTGAGGACTACCTAAGAAATTAGGCTACCGTCCTGAAGTCATGGAACTACCCGTCATCTGTATCCTCACCCCACCCCCTGATCCCTGCGCTAAACCACCGGTGAAATGTCGCACAACCGGCCATGCCGACGTGGAGGCAGACCCTCCCCCACCCCCTTTAAATCCCATTCAAGGACCCCTATCCCTCAGAGCCGCAGTACCCCGCCACTCAGCCCGTTGTGGGGCCCGGCTCGGGAACCGATCTCATCCGAGGGCCCGGCGGGGCCCGGCCCCGCCCGGCCGGGGGGGCGAGACCGGCGTACGGCCCGGGCAGGGCTTGGCCGGGCCGCCACGTACGGTCAGTGGCCCGCCCCCGCTCACTGCGCGGGCGGTCCGGCACCGGTCAGCCGGGTGACCGTACCAGTGACCCCGGCCACGGCCCCGGTTCGCCTGACCGTCCGACTCCCCGGCGGGCGAGTGGGCAGGGGCGTCCGATTGGACAGCACCGTCGTGGTCGGCGTCCGGGCTTGAAGGCTAAGCCTGGTTAACTGAGACTTGAAGAGTCTGGCCGGGCCCGGAGCCTCCGCCGCCCGCTTTGCAGGCCCGGCCGCAAGTTGAAGTCGTTAATATCAGCGGGGCCGACTCCCGACTCGAGCCGCTGGTGCCGGGCAGCCACTACCCCTACCCCAGGTACAGAAGTCTTTTGACAGGGATGGGCTAACAGTGGGTGGTATCCCACCTCTACATGAAATCACCCCTCCGATGTATGACCTACCGCCATTTTCATGAATCAATTATACTAAAAATGACCCCTCCCTATCCACCAACCTATCATTAGATTCCTCCAGCCTCTTTAGAGTTCATAAATGACCACCGGTCCTCAATCACACCCCACTTACATATGAACCCCTCCTACCCCCCCAATCTCCTAGCCCTACCCCCCAAATCTCCTAGCTCTACCTCTATTAGATGCAGGTACTGAACCCCCTACCACCCTCTTGGAAGAAATCTAGTACCCTACCATTTGCAATCTCAAGTCAGGCCGAAACCACCCCTTCATTCCCAGCTCACCCCACCCACCTTTTCTCACAACCCCACCCCCCTTTTGTTTACTACCGTATGCATCTGGGAGAAGCTCACCTCAGAAGGCACATTCCCCCGGGGAGGGCATGGCAAGAGCTGGTGGTGGGCTAGTTGGAGGGGAAGGTACATGGGAGGTAGGAGGAGGAGTTCAAGGTTGAGGAGGAAGAGGAGGGCAGTGCGAGTCTCTCGAGGATCACGACGAGGACGAGGAGCATACGTGTACAGCAGCGAGTTGCAGAGACGGGAGGGCTCCTTTGAGAGTAGTCATCACAGTGGTATGTGCAAGGTGTTCAATGTTACTATGTGAGGATCTCATGGGTAACGAGTTGTAATCATGAGATTTTTCCTAGACATAACATGTCTAACTGCACACTACCATCTATGCTCGAGCATGCTTTGGGGGTTTTACACACAAGAAGAGATACAACGATCTTTCTTACGAAGGATTTTCACGACGGAACACCATTCTCACATTCAGTGGTTTGCCTAGATACGATGAAGTGAGAACCTGCCCGCTAACAAAACATGCCGGAATCATCGCCTGAGGTAAGAAATGATCATCAACGGCAGTGTTGTGCCGATTCCTGTCATAGTCACACGAGTAATATGACCATTGCTATGTTGAGCAGACATCAACGAATGGCCCAGAGCCTTCGTCAACCAAGGACGATGACGTGGAAGACGTTGATTCTACGAGGTAGACGAACAGCATGAGAGGATGGCTCGGCCTCTCACTTTGTCTTCAGAGTCCCCAAGGCAAGGTACAGCGACAGCCACGACGACAAGGATGCGGGAACGCGGAGAAATGGCGGAGATGCCAGCGGAGATGCTGTAGTTTCGATGATTCTCGATTCGGGATAGACGTGACTGTTGGGTGCAGCTCGTTCCTGGACCAGCTCGAGCTATTTTCGGGTATGACTCTGACTCGGTCTGCGAGCTTGCGTTTGCCGAGGGTCAGCTCCTTGAGGTGGACTATCGCTCGCTCCGCGTACCTTCACCCCTGTGACGTCTCGGGCTCAGGTGTTGGAGGTGCACGAGGATGGATGGTGCCTTGCGCGGACGGACCATGGCGCGAAAGGAATGGTGAGCGTCGGAGCTGGGCGGGAGCAGCAGGCCGGGGTTGACGGTTGGCCCGAGCAGGTGCCGTGCTCTTACATCAAGATGGAGCCGAGCGCCGAGTTCAGAGTCACATCGCCACACTGGGAGGAAGCGCCTGACGACAGTGAGTTCACTGCTACGGGAAGCTTGAAGAAAGTATCCAAGAAGAACGGGTATGTGACCCGCGCTCGCAGCGACCATTACCCTGCCTTTTTTTGCCTTCCGCTTCCTGCATCCTTCCTGCTACCTTCCGAACTTCCTCATCATATCTCTCTCCTCCTCTTCCTCCGAGCTCCCATTTCTTTGTTTGTTCTCTTTGTTGCAATCTTGCCCTCACCAGCCCGGTTCCTCTCGCTGTTGTGACTCGTCTATCACTCAATGACGGTCTTGACTTCTCCTCACAGAGAGCAAAGCCCTGACCTGCCGCCACTTCCTCCTCCTCGTACGGGATGCTTCCGGAGATCTATGTCTGTCTCCAGGGCCGAAAACTCCCTGAGCTTGTCCCATTGCCACGATAGCTTGTCCAGCATGGAGGTTGAAGAGCAGGACGAGGCGGCAGTGGAGCAGTCTGCAGCGAGGCCTTCTTCAGATGCTGACGAGGCAGCAAGCAAGGCGCCACGGGGAGATAGAGATACGACAGGAGCTGCCAGCATCAAGTCAGCTCCCAGATTTTGCGGTACAGGACCGAACGGAGACTGGGAGCATGTCCAGGTGAGTTTCGTGGTGGAAGATGCGGCGGTTGAGCTGACGGGAGTTATCAAGGTCATCACCCCCGACATGGCAAACAGGCTTGTTCTGAATCGTGGGGCTGTGTTTTCGAAGTACAGGTGATGGATTGTTGTGAAAAGAGGAGGAAGGGGACAAGGAGGATGTGTGAGAGGAAGAGGTGGTGATGGTGGTAGTGGAGGAGTGACGATGTTACAGTTACAAGAAAGGAATGGTTGGAGTGAAGCAAAAGTCAGACAGAATCGTATGGTTGTCTGGGGACAACAAGATCATGTGGCAAGACCCGAGCTCGAAATCAGTCCTGACTTCCAACATTTTGTGAGTGATTGTCCTTTGGGGAGGAGCTGTGGTGGAGATGTCGAAGAGCATGCGTTAAAGCGTCGGAGTGAATGGAGGTTCCTTGCAGAACTGGAGGAAACGCTTCTCCAAGCACTAGGCAGCCCGGATTCATCGTGGTGGGAGAGATCATCTCGATTTCGCGCACTGCGGTAACAACAATCCTCTCCTCTTGTCTGCTTCCTTCCCCTCACTCTCGCCTCAGCCTCATCATTACGGGGTGGACAATGAACTGAGCATCTACATCGTCACTACCCATCGCTCCCTCTTGCTGGAGGCCCCCAACAGGTGGACGCCTGCTCGGCTCAGTCTTCCCCGTCTGACACGGTTCTGCCGCACGCAGCGAGGAGAGGGAGTTCTGGTTCTCTGAGCTGAGCAAGATCGTTGAGACGGCTAAGGTGATCGAATCTCAGCATGAGGGGGGGAGGGGAAGGCAGGGAATGGAAGAGTGGAGGCGAGAGGATCTGAGCAGGGAGGGAAGTGGCGGGCAGGGCAAGAGCAGAGATGGGGAAAGAGCAGGGAGGGCGGAGGGGAGTCAAGGAGATATGAAGTTTGCGGGGGTTCAATCATTCTGACCCTGGACATGGCGTCTTGGTGTTTGGCAGGCTGAGCAGAGGGAGCGGAGGAGGCAGGTAACGCCCTGGCATGCCGAGGGTGAGCAAGGGAACTCATGTGTACGTTACCAGGAGAAGTGCCTGGAGAAAGACTTCAGCATGACTGAGAGGAGGAGGCAGTGGATGCAGGTCAGGCCCCTGCTGGGTCGCCACCCCACCTGACACCCCAGCAGGACATCCTGCCCAACTTCGAGAAGATGCGGGAAACCAAGCAGTGTCGAGCCCTTTGCTGGCTGGTGAGTCAGGCTCCGCACGATCCGCTGATCCTTTCCACATTTACATCGCTCCCCTCGCCGATCTTCCTCGAAGCTCGTCCACCCCTCGTTCCTTGCCTATCGCCTACCCCTCCGCTCTGCTCCTTGCTTGCCTCGTCCCTTGCCTGCTCGTCCTGTCTCAGCTCCTCCTCATCGTCATCTCTGCCTTCCCTAGCGTCTCACTTGCTGCTAGGGAGTCCCCACGAATCTCCGAGTTGAAGTCTGGAGAAAGTGCATCGGAAATCAGCTGCAGATCACTAAGGTGAAAATTCCTCCTTCCTCCAACTCCTCCCTCTGCCTACTCCTCCTCCCCCTCCTCCTGGAGTCGCATCGCCCCTACCCCCGTACCATCTCTGTCCTGCTGCTCCCTCTCCGTTCCTCGTCCTCCTCCCTTTCCTCTGCTGCCGTCACCCTTACCTTCTCGCCTTCCATCTGCTGGGACTGAGCTGGACCCGACAGGAGCTGTACGACATCTTCAGGAGCCATGCGCAGAGAGCTCGACGGGATCTTGAGAAGAGTCTTGAGATCGGTAGGGAGGGGGAAGAGGGGTCCTGGCGGGCTGACGCTGCTGCTGCTCAGCGATGAACGACCCCAACAACCAGCACGCGCTGCTGGGGTCCGAGTCAAGTCTAAAGGTGAGGGGAGTGCGAGTTGCGGTTGGGGGCGTGTACTCGAGGAGGAGGAGGAGGAGGAGGAGGAGGAGGAGGAGGAGGAGGAGGAGCAGCAGCAGCAGCAGGAAGCAGCAGCAGCAGCAGCAGGAAGCAGCAGCAGCAGCAGCAGGAAGCAGGAGCAGGACCATGAGGTTGAGGGTGAGGATAAGATGAAAAGAAAAAAGGACAAGTCTTTCTGGAAGTTGAGAAGAGGAGATGGAGGCAGCGGTAGAGAAATTAGCTATGAGGAAGAAGAAGATTCATGGGGGGAGAGGAGTTTTGGTTGGAGGGCTGGGGGGCCTGACGAAGGAGGTAGTGGTTCCTGACATCCCCCTCCTCCTCAGGTGTTGGACAAGGATCTTCCGCGCACCTTCAGAGAACTCGGTGCTTGGCGTCGTCCTGTTGCTGAGAGGAGGGAGGGGAGAGGGAGAGGGAGAGGGAGAGGGAGTGGAGGGAGGAGGTGGCAGAAGACGAGGACGAGGACGAGGACGACGAAGAGCTCACTGTATGCTGGCAGGATTTTTCCATCAAGGGGGGCCGCTAGAGGCTCAGCTGAGGGACGTGCTGGAGGCGTACATCTTCTACAGGCCAGATGTTGGGTGAGGCAACGAAGATAGAGGGGGGGGCAGGAGCAGGGGAAGGGGAAGGAGCAGGAGCAGGAGCAGGAGCGGGAGCAGGAGCAGGAGCGGGAGCGGGAGCAGGGCTTGAGGGGGAAAGGAGGGGGTTGAAACTTTCTCATGTTCTCTCCAGTTATGTGCAAGGGATGAGCTACCTCGCTGCGATGCTCCTCCTCACGATGGACACCTACCAGGTGACCGTCTCATCAACTTGCCTCCTCCTCTTCTGCCCTCTCATCTCATCCTCCTGCTCCTGCTCCTGCTCCTGCTCCTTCCTCGTGGACTACTTCCTCCTCCTCAACCGTTCTCACCATCTTCATTGTTTGTTCCCTTCCGTTCTTCTTCTCTTCGCTATCGTCTGACTCGCTTCTCCTCTCGCAGGCGTTCGTCGCTCTCACCAACCTCCTCCACAGGTCGACAGTGACCCCAGCAGCTCCGACATGTCCTGACGTCTCGGCAGTCATTACTTCCTCTCCTTCTTCGCCATGGACATGCTGCAGGTAAGAGGAAGCCGCCATGCCTGACCCTGAACCACATCCCTTTCCTCTCTCCTCTCCTCCTCTCCCCCCTTGTATCTCCCTGCATTCCTCGTTCTCATCTCCTCCTCCTCCTCCTCCTCCTCCTGCTCCCTTGTGGCCTCCTCTCCTCCTCTGCGTATCGTTCCTGCCAGCCGACTGATAGGCGACTGTTTACCTTCAGATTCGCATTCGCTTCAGCGTCTTCGAGCATTTCTTCGAGCGACTGGTGAGGCAGGAGGGGAGGAAGCGACGTCTGACGTCTTTACAGCTCCCTGACCTCTTCGAGACCTTCCAAGAGCTTGGAGTGACAACTGACTTGTACCTGGTGATGACCACGATGACGATGACGATGATGATGATGACGATGATGATGATGATGATGATGATGATGATGATGATGATGACGATGATGATGATGACGATGATGATGAGTGCGGTTTAGTGGTGGGTCGAGTCTGATCGTGATTCTGTGTGCTGTCTGTTCATTCTTTCCTTGTTTCGTCTTTCCCC